AAGAACAGCTTCATCTGCTCATCCTTGTTCCCATCAACATCTGTCTTACCTCTCCCAGCTTCTCTGTCCCTCCTTCATTGACAATATTCATGTTCATGTCAGTGGCTTCCTTGAAAAAGACTTCCCGAACTTCAGCAAAGCCCTGGCTGGTGGGGATCATCAGGGCTTCCAAGATGGAACTGATGTATGGTTGGACATGATTCCGGACACAGACCTCAGCTTTGGAGAAGACGACGGCTGGAGGAGAAGAACAGCACAAGGACTGCTAAGAGCCAACTTCTATTTTTTTTTATTTAAGAAATCTAACAAGCTCAACCCAGATTGCCCAAGAGAAAAGGAACGGTAGTGGATCTCCATCCAGGAAAGTAGATATGGGGAACCTGTAGTTCTCCAGATGTTCTTGAACATCTAACCTTGCTCAAGACCTTCAGAAAGGCACTCCCAATGGACCTAACCGGTTTGGGCAACGATAGGCAACTTTGGGAGGTGTAGTTCAGCAACATCTGGAGGACCACAAGTTCTCCACTCTTCGAATGAAAGCCAGACTGTTGTATGGCTCAATTCTTCTGAACATTCCACAAAGGGAAAAATATTCCAGGGTTGTTCAGAAGTAAAAAAAAAATAGAGCAGCAATAATCAGATTATGCAAATATTTTACCCTACGCATTTTGTGAAGTCAACAGATTGATTTCTTCACCTCTTATCAGTAACAGTAACATAGTTGGAAGGGACCTTGAAGGTCATCTAGTTCAACCTCCTGCTCATGCAGGAGACCTATACTATTTTTGACCAACGGCTGCCCAGTCTCTTCTTAAAAGCCTCCAGTGATGGGGCGCCCACAACTTCTGAAGGCAATTTTTGCACTGGTTGATTGTTCTCACTGTCAGGAAGTTTCTCCTTAGTTCCAGGTTGCTTCTCTCCTTGATTAGTTTCCATCCGTTGTTTCTTTGTCTCGCCTCCTGGATGCTTCAAAATTAGGTTTATGAATGAAGGCGAATCTACGTGTCCCAGGATAATGTTGCAGGATCCAATCTAGGTTGGTCACTGGGATCAGAGGTTTCGTCTTCCAAGCTTTTGGATTCATGTTGGAGCCCATCCTCAGAGAATTTCTCTCTATCTCTTTTTCTGTGACACTCCTTCAAGTATTGGAAGATTGCTATCATGTCTTCCCTAGTCCTTCTTTTCACTATTTATTTATTTATTTATTATTTAGATTTATATCCCGCCCTTCTCCTCGTAGGACTCAGGGCGGCGGACAATCAATTAAAATAGACTAGACGTACCCAATTCCTGCAACCATTCTTCATACATTTTAGCTTCCAGCTCTCTAATTAACTTTGTTGCTCTTCTCTGTCCTCTTTCTAGAGTCTCTCTCTCTCTCTCTCTCTCTCTCTCTCTTTTTTGTACTGGGGTGGCAGAAGACTAGAACCCAGAATTATCCAAAAAAGTCAACTGGGTGTAGATATTACAGGGCACTCACTGCCATTACTCACCTCGGATTTTGTTGGCCAGATGTTCCTTGGATTGGATGATCTGATCCATATCTGTCCGGATGATGCTCTTCATTTCAGGAATCTGAAGCTCACATTTGGCCACTGAGGAGTCATAATGGGCTGTTGCCTGGTCACAGACGATTCTGTACACCGCATCAGAGATCTACCAAAAGTGAACCATGGATAGTTGCGGAACGGCCGAAGAGAATTAGATCAGCAAACCCAAGTCAGGAACCTTTTGACTCTTGTTTGGGGGGAAGGGGATCTAGCAAAACCCAATGAAGATTGCAAGCAACAAACATCACACACACACACACACACACAGTGAAGACTTGTTATAAACTGTACATTCCATGTTTATATTCATTTCATAGAAAGGCAGTTCTGTTCTTCAACCTGGAATACGCCACAGAGGTTATGAAAATATCGGAAGGAAGGAAGGAGACAGGAAGGAGAGAAGGAAGAAAGGAAGGCATATGGAGGAAAGAGACAGGAATGAGAGAAGGAAGGAAGGAAGGAAGGAAGGAAGGAAGGAGACAGGAATGAGAGAAGAAGAAAGGAAGGCGTATGGAGGAAGGAAGGAGACAGGAATGAGAGAAGGAAGGAAGGAAGGCGTATGGAGGAAAGAGACAGGAATGAGAGAAGGAAGGAAGGAAGG